ACTTCACAGCAGAGCCCAAGTAAAGAGGGTCCCTGGGGATAAAGGAAGCCCCATGACAGCAGCCTCACCTTAGGACAGGCCAGCAGGACCTGCAGAGTGAGCAGAGCCCATGGCTAAAGGGCAGAGCGAGTTGGAATCTTCTTGTCCTGGATGAGTAGGGTCAGTGGGTGGGATCCTGCACTGACCAGCTCCTCACTGGGAGGAAAAGGTGGCGGCCCCTGGGAGAGGGCGCAGCAGCCTGGGAGCCAGGGCCAGAAGCCCAGCTCTAGAGGGTATTTTCTGCCTAAGACATGGAGGCTGGAGCCAGCTGGCCACCAGGTTAGTTGCAGATGGCTCCAGACACTATCGCTAATCTTCTTCTCTTGTACTATACCATTCACTAATATTTATACTTATTCCTTACTTTTATCTTTTTTTGTGTGTGAGAAAGATTGTCAGCGAGCTAACATCTGTGCCAATCTTCCTTTACTTTATGTGGGATGCTACCAGAGCATGGCTTGAGGAGTGGTGCTAGGTTCGTGCCTGGGATCTGAACCTGCGGACCCTGGGCGGCTGAAATGGAGCACGTGTACTTAACCACCATACCACTGGGCTGGGCCCATGTTTATTCTTTATTACTGATCCCCACCAGAATGAAATTCCATGAGGGCAGGCAGTTTGATCTGCTTTGTTCACTGTTGAGTCTCCAGCATCCTGAACAGTGTCTGAAACTAGTCAGTGGATTGGAGCTTACTTCCTGGTGTTGCATCATGTGTTAAGAATTTTATGCGTATGCGTGACCACTGTTTAGATTATCATATGTCACTCAAAAATAGATTTCAGATTCTCTGTTAGATATTTTTAGTGGATTTGTGACTTAGCAAAAAGGCAAAACCTCTGCCTGAATGAGCCTAACTGGTGGGGGCACATCCCTGTGATCCTCACCTGCTCCCAGGACACTGCCAGGTGGGGTCTGAACTCTACCTTTCTCTTCCTGGTCAGTTTTGAGAAATCACAGGAGAGCTTTCTCAGGATCATAAAGCCATTGAACTCAGGATTTGAAGAGTTGCCTCTCTCAAAGGAAGAATAGAAAATTCTACTATTTGGTTCAGGCATTTCAATCTCTCTTTCTCAGAGGGACACAGTGGTGGGAGAGAGAGAGAGAGAATAAGTAAGGAAATAGAAGATTTACACAACTCTGTTTACAGTTTGATGTAACAGACATTTGCAAAACATTACACGCACCGCCGAACACAAAATCTTTTCAAGTACCTTTGGACGATTATCCAGGATTGACAGTATTCTAGGAATGAATCAAATATCACTAAATTAAAAGGACTAGGACCATGAAAAATATGAAAACATAATTAAATTTGAAACAACAACCTGAAGAAATGTGGAAAAACCCACTTATTTGAAAATTGAAGAATATACATGTAAGTAAACCAGGAGTCAAAGAAGAAATCAAAACTTAAATGAGAAAATACTGACTTTTATTAACACAAAAAACAAAACATATCAGAGCTTAAGGACTGCAGCTAAAGCAGTGCTTTGAGGAAAATTTTTAGCTGTACATGCTGATCATTAGAAAGGAAGAAAGATCTAAAATGAATAATTTAAGATTTTAACGCATAGAGGTAAAAAAGAAGAGAAAATCAAGCCAAGTGTAAATAAGAGGAAGAAAAAAACATCACTACTGACCCTCCAATAATTCAGCATTATCAAGAAATATGAAAAGTAATGAATGCCAACACTTTAGATGATTTCAATGAGGCAAACGAAATTCCTAACAAAGTTCTCATGCAGTGCTGTCCACACACAGGTGAGGCCATCTTGGCTCCACCCTCACAGTCTCCTTCCAGTGACATCCTCAGGGCCTTCCTGCTTCACCTTGATTTACCACGTGTGCACCTCATTTACCTTGTGCTCTCACATGGGGACCTGGGTCTTTGAGGCTGGAGTGGGAGAGATGAAGGGCGTTTCTATAGCTGTGTCTCATGATCTGTTCACTGTGGATTTTTTCCAATTATTTTATTGTGGTAAAACATTCATGACATAAAATTTACCATCTTAGCCATTTTTACATGTCCAATTATCTCAGAATGCTCTATCTGTTCACTATGAATTTTTGTATGTCCTTCACTGAGAAGCAGAATTAAGGGGGAAGTTTATCATGATCTCTCACTTAGATTTTTGTGTCCTTTTATTTTGTAGGTCTCTTGTATGCAGCCTATAATTGGGTCTTGTTTTTAAATTCAATCTGACAATTTCTGTCTCTTAATTATGTTATTTAGACTGTTTATAATGAATATGGTTATTAATGTATTTTATATATAACATGTCAGTCTTTATTTTCTTTGTCCCATATCTTCTTTGTACTCTTTTTCTTTTTTCTGTTTTTTTAAATTAAGTATTATTAGTATTCCTTTTAATGACTTTTTTGGCTTAATAGCTATAAATATTTGTCATTTTATTATCTATAACTTTTCAAAGTCAACGTTCAGGTTATATTACATCACGTCACACATAGTATCAGGACCTTATAACGTGCAACCACCTCTTTCATTATTTTCACCATCATGTTCAAATATTTTACTTTTATGTGCAGTATACATTCCAACATATGAAGCTATCATATTTTGCTTTAGACAGTGAATCATCTTCTAAAGAGATTTAAATAATAAAAACATTCTTAATATTTATAGCCATAGTTTGCAATTCTGTTTCTTTCCATACATTTTCATAGATTTAGATCCTTTCTGATATCATTTCCTTCTGCCTGAGGGGTGTTAAATATTATTTTCTGGCTTGCAGGTCTGCTCATGATCAATTCTGTCAGTTTTAGCATGTCTGAAGAATTTTTTATTTAGCTTTCATTTTTGAAAAGTATTTTCACTGGGTAATGAATTAAGGTTTCTTCTTTTTTCTTTCAAGCATTTTAGAGATGTAAATCCACTGTCTTCCCACTTGCATTTCTTCCAACGAGGAATCTGTGGAATCCCTTTCTTTGTTCCCCCGATCATAGTGTCTTTTCTCTCTGGCTGCTTCTAAAACTGTCTCTTTTTTTACTATCTTAAAATATTCCATATTGGTTTTTGTTGTTGTTGTTGTTTTTCTGTGCTTGATGTTTGTGGAGCTTTCTGCATCTGTGACTTTAGAGTTCCCATCAAATTTAGAACATTTGGGCCAATATTTCTTCAAATATGTTTTTTTCAATACACCTACCCCATCTTCTATCATTGGGAGATGCCAATGACTTCCATAAAACTTTGCTTGGAGTATTCCTACAAATGAGTGAGTCTTTGTTCATTTTTTAAATTATTTTCTCTCTTTAATTTTGTAGATTCTGTTGCTATATCTTCGAGTTCAATCATCCCTTCTTCAGCAGTGACACATCTGTTGTTAATCTCATCCCTCATATTTTTAACCTAAGAAATTGTTATTTTCATGCTCAGAAGTTAGGTTTGTATATTTGTATTTTCTCCTGTGTCTCAACTTAACATTTTCAATCATTTGGACCTAATTTGGACAGAGCATTGCAACATCACCTCTTAACTGAATATGCAGCCTCCTGCTTGCCCTACAGATTTCAGACTTGCCAGTCTGACAACTACATGGGCCAGTTCCTTAAAAATCTCTCTCTCTACATATATAGATAGATATATGGATAGAAAGGTAGATAGATAGATAGATAGATGGATAAATATACACACGTATTGGATATCTGTACAGATATAGACAATTTATCTATCTATCTATCTCTCTGTCTATCTATCTACCTATCATCTACCTTTCTATCATCTTTCTGTCTCCTTATTGATTCTGTTTCTCTGGAGAACTCTAATTAATACACATTAGTAACTATAAATCTTTTTTGTTAAATGTGTTTTATTTGAATGGTTGCTTTAGGGTCAAAGCACTGATCTAACATAAAAATCTACCTTCCAGTGATATTATATTATTTCACATATAGTATCAGACCATTTTAACAAGCTCTTCCCTCCCCCCAACTTTTGTGCTATCATCGTTGTATATTTTATTTTGATATTCATTAGAAAACAAAGTAATTTCTTTTCCTTTACTGTTATGTTTTATAGACGTTAACATAAGACAGATGTTTCTATTTTATCCATGTAGTTACCATCTGATGCTTTTTTTTCTTTTGGTAGATTCACACTTCTAGTTGGTATAATATTGCTTCTGACTGAGGGGTATCTGTTACTAATTCTCATTGAAGATCTGTGGCTGATCAATTATGTAGGTTTTTGCATGTCTAAAAAAATTTCACTCTGCCTTCATTTTTTAATTCAAGGCTGAAAGTGATTTTTCTTCCATTTTCTTTTGAAGACACATTTTTTAAAGGCTTTATTTTAAAGATATTTCTCTATTGTCTTCTCAGTTTTGTTGCTCTTAATGAATAATCTGCTTTTACCATGATATTTGTTCCTCTGTTGATGACATGTATTTTCTGTAGCTCACTTTTAATATTTTCTCCTCATCACTGGTTTTCAGTGTTTTGATTATGATGTGTGTTAGTGCTATTTTCTCATGTTTCCGGGGCTTATGCTTTATTCAGTTTCTTGGATATGTCAGTTACTAATTTCACCAAATTTGTAACATTTTGGCTGTTATTTCACTAAGTATTTTTTCTGTTCACCTTGCCTGTCTTCTCTGCTCTGAGACTCCATTACATGCTTAGTAAGCTCCACAAAGTTGTCCTACATCACTGAGGCTGTGTTCATGTCTGTCACTTATTTTTTCTTTGTTTTATTTGAATAGCTTCCACTTTTCTGTCATCGAGTTCACAAATCTCTTCTTTTGTAGCATCTAATCTGTCATCAATCTCATCTAGTGCATTTTTAAATCTCAGACATTACAATTTGCATCTCCAGAAGTGAATGTGGTCTTGTTTAAACGTCGTCCATGTCTGCATGTTGTCTTCAGTCCTTCCTCTAGCTCTTTAAACAAATGGAATATTGTTATAATAACAATTTTTGTATTGTCTCCTAATCCAACGACTGCAGAGCCTGCTTGGAGGGCTGGGAGGAGAGGGCAGCCTGGGGATCTCAGATCCAGGAACCTGGGCAAGGTCTGCTCATGGCTTTGTCTACAGTCCTCCTGGGGCTGGAGGAGAGTGTGATAGAGAAAGGAAAGGGGTTTGTGTCTCTCTTCCCCCTCAGTATGTGTCACTGTGCGCTTTACCACTGCTGTCCCTCACCTGGCAGTAATAGTCAGCCTCATCCTCAGCCTGGGCCCCGCTGATGGTCAGGGTGGCTGTGTTCCCCGAGTTGGAGCCAGAGAATCAGTCAGGGATCCCTGAGGGCCGGCTGTTATCATCATAAATCACCAGCACAGGGGCTTGTCTTGGCTTCTGCTTGTACCAGTGAACAACTTTGTTTCCAATGTTGTTTCCCCCAAAGGTGAATCTGGCTGTCTGTCCCAGGGTCACTGACACTGATGTTGGCTGCATCAACATGTAGGAGGCCACAGAGCCTGCAAGAAAGAGAAGAAGAGACATGTTGGAAGACAAAGGACCAATTCCCAAGAGATTCCCCACTTGCCTGAGCTGGATAGAGCTACAGGGATTCTGCGAGACCCCTGGATGCCCCCTCTAATCAATGTCAGTCTCAGTGGCCCATGAGCCTGACTGGTCAAATGAGCCTTTGAATAAATGAGAAACTCCCCCCTTCTCTTGGCAGGTGCATCCCCTAAGGCCTCACACAGAGCCACTGAGTGCAGTGGGGAGATTTCAATATGACCAGCCCCTCATCCTGCAGCAGATTTATGAGCATCCTGCCCACCACAGGCAGGTCCCTACTGAGCTCAGAGTCAGGGCCAAGATTGTCCCAGAGCCCTGAGGCTGAGGATGGGGTGAGCCTGGGTGCAGCACCTATGTAGTGAGCAACTAGGGCAAGCAGGAGAGGGGTCCAAGCCATGGTGGAGGTGCCCTGATTCTTCTCCTCAAGCCCCAAGGCTAGGCAGGTTTCCTCCCAGGCCTCTCTTATCCTCTTTCTGGAGAGAGCTGCTGGACATGCAAATCAGCCAGGGCTCAGGCAGTGTTGTTTGAGGAGCTTTGTGGTTTCAGAGAAGGGCTCAACCCCAAGGGACACAGAAGGGGAGGGGTTCCCTGCAGACCCCACCCTCAGCCAACAGGATGCTCCTTCACCTGCAGGTCCTTTAGTCTGGGGCTAAGTCTCCCACCCAGGTTGTGTCCTAAACTCTCTCTCTGGCTTGGTCACAGCAGAACTCAGAGGTGAAGTCTGTATGCATTTTCCGGGAAACCCAAACTTCTGTCCACTGAAGAGTGCTGGGCTGTCATGAAGGTGATCAGAGTCACACTAGTGATGCTGGGTTATCCGGAGCCCCCAGGTCCTTGCTTTGTTCCATTCTGGCTCAGCATGGAGGTGGTTAATGTCATCTAGGAGTCCGGGATGTGTCCTCCATAACCATTTTGTGGTGAAGTTCATATATTGGTCTATTTGTAGCTCCATCTTCAGAAGCTTCACACAGGAGATCTAATCTGAATATCCAGGAGCCGAGTGAAGTGACCCTCCTCATTCCTCTTCTACAGGTGACACTAAAAGGCTTAGATAGGTGCAGGGTCGTCGCAGACTCAGCTCCTGAGTAGTAGAACCAAAAGTAAGATTCTTCCCCTGCCAAGTACACATGGAGTTCTTGAGCAGTCATCAAGGTGCTGTGAGTTTCTGCTCTTGGCCATGATCTCCCAGGGCAGGTCATAGGGTCTGTGCCTCAGCATCCCCATTGTGTGATCAAGACCAGGCACACGTCATGTGCTCTAAAGAAATGTTAGTGCATAAGAATGACAGTGGCCTGCAAACGCTAGCAAGTCCTCAAGTGAATATTGCCAAGGAGAATGTATTAATTAATGAGATAATTTAATTTAATATGTCAACAAATGTTTATTGAGAAAACTTCTGTCTTCTGGGCACTAGGAAGCAGGAAGAATAGAATTTTTTGGCTCCCCTCCCCGTTCTTTGGAGATGTATGTAGAGGGACAGATGAGGTGACAGTGGAGGAGCTCCCAGGGAAGGAGGAGTGGCCATGTCTGTCAAGACAGGGGGCTGTCAGAGCCCAGGGAGGGAGGAGAAACGTGTGGTTGCAGGGAGCATGGTGTTAGCAGACAGCGACAGCGTGTTAGCACGATTAGGGTGGGCTGGGGGCAAAGGGCCTGGACCTGTGCCAGAGAAAAAGGTAGCGTCTCCATGAGCAGATCTGAGATACATGGGGCCAGAAAATTTGTCCTTGAGAGTGAAGGATGACACCGCAGAAAAATAAGGACACCTTTTCCTTCAGGTATGAGGTCGTGGTTACTAACCCCCCTGCATGTTAGAGCCCCTGATGCCCAGGCTCACCCCATGACTAGGCGGCTGTGCCTGGTGATCTCTGCTGCCCCCTGCTGGCCGCTCCTCACTGGCTGTGGCGGTGCAGGGGCGCCCTCTGTCCTGGGGTGAATTCAGACCCACTGCTTAGTTCCTGATTCCTGATTCAGGGACTGCTGCCCCAGGGCAGGAATTGTTCTCTCCACATGGCCCCTGCCTGCCTCAGTCCAGGCACAGAGGGGCTCAGATTTCCCACGAAAATATGAAAACGGTGAAAGCAAAGCCACCATGCTGGAGGAAGAGGAGTAAACCTGTGACGGGAGAGTGTGAGGAGGAGCTGAGTCAGCTCCCATGGGTGAGAGCCAGAGCTTTCCAGGGAAACTGAGGGGCTCTAAGATCCAGACCAGTTCCCATCTCATGTGACACTCTCTTGTAAGTCAAGGATTTGGGAACAGCAGTGGTGTGTAGCCATGTGATAAGGGGGGATTTACAGGTAATAAATCAGGATTCTGGGAGCAGCTTAACACATACACTGCCTGATGGTCCAGGATGGTGCTGCTGCGCAGGGATGTGTGAAGCACAGGTGGGTTCAGACCTATCCCCTGCTCTCTCCCCGTTTATCTGGGGCCTGAAGACACTCAGTGGGGTGCTTGCTGATTTCCCCATCCCCGTGCTCATCATGCAGACATACGGGTATTTAAGTTGCTGCATGCACCTCTGGTCCTGCACCAGCTATCTAGGGTCCCATGTGGGGGACCCATCCCACATTCCCTCATTTTCCACAGACAGGCTGACCTCTAAGGAGCACAGAGCGAGGGGCCTTCACTTCACAGAGAAAAGAAGGGATAAGAGAGGGTGAGTGGCGTTCCCAAGGTCACCTGAGGAGGAGGAGAAAAGAGCAGGACCTAGGTGGTCCTTGACCAGACATAGCAACTTCCTCTAATGTACAGGAACCAGTCTGGGCTAGGGAAGGAACGATAGAAAATCTTCAGCCAGCATTTGCGGAGCCTGAAGCAAACAGCTCCTCCTTGTCAGTTTTCCCAGCTGCCTGTGGGGGCGCTGCTGCACCGGGACACAGGCCTCCTTTGGGGACTGAAAGAAACCCTAAGAATGAAAAGCCTCAGATTAGCATCAAATATAGGGACCTTTTCATGATCTTTTACTCTGCAAGTGCCGTTGAAATATTGGTTTTCAGACTCTCTGCTTAATGAAATCTACCTACCACTCATGGCCCATTAGCAGGATCATTACATTGTAGGTGTAATATGTAATCCCATTATATTGTCAAGATTTATTGAGGAGAGAATAATTCTTTGCTTTATGCGTGATTTCCCTTCCCCACGAAGTATCAGCTTTGATACGAGTCAGGAGCGTAGACAGAGGAAGCTTCTGTGTTTCCCTTTTCAAAAAATCCCCGTTTGATGTTTTTCTCCTCTCCATGTGGCCTAAAACTGAGGGCACTAAGATGGTAAACCTCAGATATATGAAGAGAAATACATTCTGCACGCAATTTTGTTCAGGGGATTGAAATTATATTTTCCTACGGAGCAACAAGATCAGGCTCAATATTGACTTAGTAGTTTATTTACATCATCACGCATGTGTGTTGGTATCTGATTTTTATAATAGACCTATATTTGCAAAAACATTATTTCTGAAACTTGTTTGTACTGCACAAGTGCTCAGTTCTTGGTCTGATGTGGGATTCTCATGAACACTTTCCCTTTTCCAATGCAAAGAGGTGGTTTCTGCCCTTGTTCACACTGGAAAGCCACCTGCATATGACTCTCCATGAGTGATAGGACCCTTTTCCTTCCAGATATCGGGAGTAGGGTTTGGGAGGGTGTGGTCAGACTAGTCTCCTATGGTCCTCCGTGTTCTCTCAACTTCACATTCTCAGGGAGTAGATGATCAGAGAGCCGGTCCCCCTCCTGTCACTCATTGTGCTGAAACAGTGGAACAAGACTGTCCCTTCCTAATGCAGATCTCCTGGGAGGTCTCCATCACCTGGGACTCGCTGAGTTGTTCCTCCTGGCAGCCCAAGTAGCAGGGACATGTGTCAGGATTTCCTTTTTCAGTGTGCTTTTTTTTCTTTTTCCCAAGAGTTAGTTTCTATTTACACTGAAGAATCCCTATCCCTTGAAATCCAGGGCCTTGCACAGACATGTTCACTGGTTCATGCAGTGGGAAATGTCTGCTGTGTGGAGCGTTCCTGCACCATCCTCATCATGAAATCCTCCAGCACCGTCAGGTGACCGCTTTATGGAATGTGCTTCTGCAGTCCCTGTTTCATCTCTTCTGCCCAGTTGAGCACATTTCCATGGCTAATATTCTTCCTTTTTGTTGCAGCAGGAGACCTTTGTGTCTTTGTCAAGGTCGTTGCATGGGCATTTAAGTATTCTCCAGGGAAACTGTTTTTGTGTGTAAAGTCAGCCATTTTTGTAGGTCTTCCAGAAATTTCCTCATTGACTCTCTAAGGGTTTGGGCATTGGTCCTCTTGTGCAGAAAGCTGTCTGTTGTAAGGACATCAGGATTTTCTTTCTCAACAGGAATGTAAACCTTTCGTGGAGCCAGTGATGCATGGGACATCACATGTCCAGTTGCCAACCTAGTCTCTTCTTGAGCCTTGTTCCAGAGAAGGACGGAGCTTCAGTACAACTGAGACATCTACCTGTGCTGATTGGGATAGGTCTGTGCTGCAGGACAGGTGTTCTTGATTGTCACCTTCATGTCAGCTCCTACAAAAGTTACAGCTTATGTTGGAGAAATTTTGTCCTTATCAGCCTCAATAGAGAAACAGTTGTTTTTTTCAATTTATTACACAAAACTGCCTTACCATATGCTCTGTCTCTGTTTGCACTGACTTAGCGTACATTGGAGGGTAGACCTTTATTTTCTTGTCCACTTCTGTAAGTCAGCTGGTGACACTATGATCATCCACTCTCTTCCTGTCCCTGCAATTCAGAGCCATGGAATCTGAATGATCCCCTGTTGGTCACAAAGTGAAAGTGAACCCAACACATCAACACGGTCCTATTGTTCACAATGAACACAGTCCTCTCTTGTGGAACTTTTGCAGAATTTTCCATAACCTTAGGTTTCAAGGAATCCAGGCTCAGACATGATGGATTGGAGAGAACCAATAAGCAAGTGTTGGTGTTTGAATCTTAAGAATCCTGATTGGTTAACAATTAATCAATTCTTGGAGACATTCTTTTGTAACTGGGGAAATGTGAGTATAAACTGGATAGAAGATCATTGTTAATTTTCTCAGTTGTTCTAAAGAGCTTGTGCTTTTAAGAGCAGTATGGATCATTACCCCTCTTCGAAGACAGACGGGGAGAAGAGAGAGAGAAATAAATAGATGACAGAATGATAGATGATGGATAGATGAATAGAGAGAGATAGAAGCAAAATGGTAAAGTGTTATCAGAGTTTTGTTCACAGAGAAGGTATGTGGGAGCTTGTTACACTATTCTTTTGACTTTTTTGTGGGGAGGAATATTTTAAAGTTAAATAAATTGGACTTCTGAAGAGAGGGAGAGAGTGAGAGTAAAGAAACCCCAGGAAACAGGGTACTCAGGCTCTGGTATCAGAGGCCCCTCCAGGCAGACTCCCTCAGCCCCATCCAGCAGAGTGCTCCCCTCATGCCTGCAGCCATGGAAAATGGAGCCAAAGGGAAGGTCCTGGACTTGGCATGGAGGGTTTCCTGGTGAGCTCCAAGGACAGCAGTTCAGAGTCCCAAGACCAAATCGAAACCCAACAGGGAGGTGGGGTCAACCCCAATAGGGTCAGACCTGCCTGGTGCACGATAAGAGTCTTTGGGAAAGTGAGAGGGCAGTCATGCCAGGAGACAGTCCCCAGATGGAACCCAAGGTGGAGTCTGCAATTCTCATGTAATATATGTAAAATCTTAGGGTATGAAGAACCCTGAGGCCAGCAGGGGCCTGGTCTCCAGTTCTTGGAGGCTTCACACAGCCAGTGAGGATGTGGGCGACGCCTCATCCAAGAAACCAGATGAGCACAGCCCCTGGGGTTCCACTCCAGGAGAAGGAATTCCAGCAGGGCTGTCCCATGTGAGACATCTCGCTCCTCTCATACATGACACTTGGTTACAACTGGAAATTGTGTGATGCATTTCTAAACTTTTTGTGTCTAATACAAACCTGCCAATAGTCCCCGTAGCTCAGCCCAACCCCTAATCCCACCATTTCTCAGCAGGATAAACTGAGGCCCTAAGAAGACAGAGGACAGGAGGTTCTCAGAGTCTCCCAACCCTGGAGGAGGCGGGCCAGGATCCGAGAAGGTACCTGAGACTGAGGCCTAACCTGCAGCTGCCCAGAGGGTGGGTGAGAGTGAGCACCAGGCCACGACAGGGAGGTTTGTGTTCCCCTTCCCTATTTGTCTGTGTCACTGTGAGTCACTGCCAGCTGCTACCCCTGCTACCACCTACAGCACAGTAGTAGTCAGCCTAGTCCTCATCCTGGGCCCTGCTGATGGTCAGAGCGGCTGTGTTCCCAGTGTTGGAGAAATGACCCCAGAGAAATGGTCAGGGATCCCTGAAGGCTGTTTGCTATCATCAAAGATGACCAACACAGGGGCCTTGCCTGGCTTATGCTGGTACCAGTGAGCATTTTTCCCCCACAGGTGATGCTGGCTGTTTGTTCTAGGGATGACAACACTGATCATGACTGTGTTAGCTCGTAGGACGTCACAGAACCTGCAAGAAAGAAAAGGAGATGTGGACTGGAAGATGAAGGA